ATTTAATGGCAAAAAAAAAAACCCGAACTAACATATTTTGTCCCCCCCCCCCCCTATGACGGAATGAAATCAAACAATATAGAACATAAAAGTACTGCGTTTGTTTGAATATGTGTGTCTATAGTTTATCTGATCAGCTACTCTGTCATGTTATCTATCAACAACAAATAAAACGAGTGGGAAAAACGCTCACTGATGTACATTTACAAGTGCTGCGATTCTATCATAGTCAGGGAAATTAAGAAAGGCAATGAATATATGCAAAAAATGTTTTTAATGTTACAAAGCAAGTCACGTTACAAATTCGATCGATGTCGATTGCTGGGTGGTGTGAGCAAGAAAACATCTATTGTTTTAAAATTTGATTATGACTGTGTCATTTATGTCAACGATATGGATCCTTCATTTGAGAAGATTCTGGAAGAATGGGAGACGATCATCGCCATGGGTATGAACCAAATTGCCGGTGAAACAAAAGTCACAGCGTATAGCATTCAATTTGAAGTAGATGGATTTCAGTTTGATATCATTCTAGTATCATTGAATATTTGGCAGTTAAAGCAGGACAGGAAGAAGAGATATTGCGTGCATTTCGTTGTTTTTTAAATCGTCTGACCAAATATTAGCAGATTGATATAATATTCTTGAACTTTTATGACCACAAATTAGTTTCAACTTGTGATAAACCATACTTAATGGATCCAACAAATCCATACAATAATATTTTTGCTAATCTACCACATCGATTCCTACCCATATTAGCAACACATTCAAAAGAAATGCTGCAACGTTTGGGAAAATGTGAAACTAACTCTGTCGGTGAGTTTGAAAAGTTGTGCGATTCTCAGCCTGATCTGCATACCTTGTTTCGTTCTCAGATGAACAGAAATCGTATTGATACAATTATGGGTGTCTCGCAAAACTGTAATGAGAAGTCCAAACGATTAATTGTGCGTCGAAACACTTTTCATTCAAAGATTCTTGAAAACATTAAAAATTTGATGAATTTTTTGCGAAAATACATAGTGACTATTGTCCATAACAAATCTGAAGAAGACATTGAGGAAAATACAAAACAAGTAGCTGAATGATTTCTAAATCGTTTGTTGTACAAAGAAGATCATCATCAATGGGTAACAACAGACAAAAAGCAAGAAGATTGCGATATTACATTTATTTTTCTGTTGAACACGGCAAAAACAGATGTCTTGTATATTTCAATGACTCAATAAAGCTTTTTCAACTGAGTAAACACATTTAATTGTACTAGGATACATCTTCTGACTGCATATTTATGAATGTGGGGAACGGTTGGTGCCTCTTTTACTTTCAGTCATGTTCATAGTGGTTCAATATTTAATAGATTCCTTTACATGTCGATAGATTGCACCTGATCAATAGAACTATTTATTGAATTTAAGAAACTAAATGATTTAAATTTATTTATAAGCTATTGTGATGATCAAGAACTCGATAAACAGTATGTAGTGTAATATATAAATATAGCAATTTTGCAAAATGAACATCATGAGTATTAGATGGTTTATAAAAACAAATTTTAAGAAATTTTTCGGTTTAATTTTTTCTGACGCAAAAAGCAAATGCCGTGATATTTGCATCAGAAACAAAATATAACTGTTATATTAAATGAAATCAGGCAAACTTCTGTCATTTTGATAGATAGATATTGAATTCTTAATCTATGTCATGTATCAATGACATTGAATTGGAAACTGAGAATAATAAACAATTGCTTTTTTCTTATATCATTCAAGTCGTTATTAATATGATTTGAATGGTCAAAATACATCATTCCGATACACAATCTTCTCGAAACAAATCAGATGTATTTGCACAATACTTCTGTGTTCTCCAATCTTGCGTTACAACAACTTGCGTAACCGGCTTCCTAAACCTAATGCGACACAGAGTTTGACCTTTGATACGTATCAAAAGACGAATCATATGAAGAGACACCCACACAAAACCTAAAACAAGGATTTGCGCGAACGAAAGCTAGAACAAACTATATGCGCCCAAATTTTTATTAGTTCTTTGAAAAGTATCCATAAGTTAAATCTGTTCTCAATTTTCTTTCATTAACCATTGAGTGCCCACCCTATTCCATGCGAGTCGATACATATCATTGGGATTTCCTGTCTTATGCCTTACTCGATACGTAGAGTTCGACAGAGAGTCTTCAAAACTTGCGTGCTTGATTCTCTCTTACTCGATCAGCTATGCGTTCCGCTACATTGTCTCCGATATTATTGTCAGAGATATTGAGTGTCGTGAGTGTCTGTATCAAAAGAAGGTTAATACTGTATACTATAGGTGAAGATTGATTGACCGTCACTTTGTTAATAGCTAAGGCATTGACGAGATGCCCGGCTCCGCCTTCACCGATTCCATTCCATGAAATATCGAGTGTCGTGAGTGTCTGTATCAAAAGAACGTTAACAATGTATGCTATAGGTGAAGATTGATTGAGCGTCACTTTGTTATTTTCTAAGGCACTGGCTAGATGTCCAACACCCTCGTTACCGATACTATTCCTATCGAGATTGAGTGTCGTGAGTGTCTGTATCAAAAGGATGTATTTTGACCATTCAAATCATATTAATAACGACTTGAATGATATAAGAAAAAAGCAATTGTTTATTATTCTCAGTTTCCAATTNGATTGATTGAGCGTCACTTTGTTATTATCTAAGGCATTGGCTAGACGTTCAGCTCCGTCGTTACCGATATCATTGGCATAGAGATTGAGTGTCGTGAGTGTCTGTATCAAAAGGATGTTAACAATGTATGCTATAGGTGAAGATTGATTGAACGTCACTTTGTTATTAGCTAAGACCTTGGCTAGATGTTTAGCACCGTCTTTATCGATATTATTCGCAGAGACATGGAGTATCGTGAGTGTCTGTTTCAAAAGAAGGTTAACAATGTATGCTATACGTGAAGATTGATTGAGCGTCACTTTGTTATTAGCTAAGGCATCGGCTAGATGTCTGGCTCCGTCGTCACCGACCATATTGAGAGAGATATCGAGTGTCGTGAGTGTCTGTAATTATCTAAGACATTGAAGATCATTAAATGAGATAGAGCGATATAGCATGATTTTCGTCGTTATGGATGCTTAATGCGTCATACGTTTTCGGGGCTGCTCCAACTCTAATTTCACTGTAGAACAGATTCAGTCTGTACTGAGGATGTATGGATATATGGGAAAAGAATAGCATTGAATGTGTTAGATCTTGATGGAGGGCGGCATGAGAGCGAATTTGGCTAGTGGCCGGCATTCGCATGTGGTGTGTGGTTTACTGCTGCAGAGTTTAAATATGGCATTTGGAGCTCGAATCTGACGGCTTTAGATTTCGCGCGCATTATTTTAGATGGAGTGGAACGAACTGATACGTGATCGATAGCTTTCTAGTATGGCTCAATAATAAATGATTTTTTTCTGATGTGCATAACTGCGATGATATTTAGAAGATAACGTATAACATTGTAGTTATATAGTACCAAGGGAGAAACATCGGATGTTTGAATGATATTAAACTTCGGTTAAACCGCATATCTGGCTACTTAGAAAATATGAAATGTTCATCCCTGAGGATAGCTGAGAAGTCGAGTACTCGATCGGTTTTAATAGGTTTTGTACGATGAAAGTGAGGGCTAGTGGTTTTGTTACTTGCGGGTGTTGGTAGTCAAAAAATTGAATAAAGTGGGTAAATAGTTTTGAGGTGGGTGGATCGACCGCTGGAACAGGTTGATTCTGCGAGAATCATGGGATACATCTTATAAACAACTCACTGCCAAGGTTCAGTAGATGGCCGTATTTAGCCAGCAGTGACTTCACGCAAATACAATGGTAGCATTATCAGTTGTTGCTAAACTCATTAGAAAATTTCTTGATTAAACAGAAGGCTTTTGTCTATTGGGGTCATATGTCAGTAACTCATGTTTTTTAATTGGCGCGAATCATGCAACATGTTGTAATAGGGTAGTATGCCTGTCTGCTTGTACCCTCCATAATCCGTTAATAAATAGTGAAAAATATATCATGGCAATTTTTGGAAGCGGTATAATTTTGCTCTTTTAGTTTCATCCTCTCTGATGAGTGTGCCGATATTGATGGCACGCTTCGATGATTCTCCTTCCTCTTCCTTCTATTCTCTTTCCATTATTGCAATATATCTCTCTCCTATATATACGTGTGTTATGTATGAAGTTGTTACACTCTGGATATGTGAATAAACGAATAAACATCATTGTCGTGAGTGGCTGTAAGCTACTCCATCTCTATCCAGTTTGTTATTACGATATAAACTCAACAGAGTCGTATTTATCGTTACAATGAGAATGGAGTTTTCCCTCTATCGATACATTATGAATTTGCATGTTTTATAATTGTAGGCAATAGGTTTTTCAGAAAAATGCGATCAACAATACAGGTTGATAACTTCCGAGTATACATGGTAGAGTAAAATTTCTGAGAGCAAGAGCGTTGCATAATTATATTTTACCGCATTTCTGAGAATTGCATAGTAAGCCACTATTTCCATATCAACATCGGTCAATGCCATGAATTTCAGTGATAAATCTTCCCTATCATGGTGATTGGCAATTATTTCTTCGAGCCTTGGGTTTCGAGATCGAGGGGGTGGTGGTGGTGGTGCTAAAAAGAACAATGGAAATCTACATATTTAAATATAATTTGAAAACATTATATGCCTATCTCTAATAGCTTTTGTTTCTCATACAGACGCTATAGCAGCTATCTATACACTGATCGGATAAATTCGAAAGACATAACCTCAATGAAAGAGAGACGGACTGTTGCCTATTAAATATAACCAATTTAAACGCGAGTATGACACATTTTAGTAGTACGCAGGCAACATTCATACTAATAAAGCCATAAATGAAAAGAAACTGTCGACTTCATCTGACTGTACTGATCAGAATAATCCAATGACTTTTTAACCTTCAGCTATTTCATGTCACTGCAAGTGAGTTACTTCAGTTTATCGACAAAAATGACTGCAAAATCATAGCAATGTCAATACATCTATTGACATGAACTAGCAAATATCAGCTCTAAATCGGTGTAAAAAAAAGCGCACTTCATTATATTACTTGCAATGTTGGTGCGACTATAGCTGAAATGCATATATATACAGAGGGATATACGTATATAAAACAGAGTAATATCCAAAATAACCATCCTCATGCATAATTTTAGATCCAAAAGCCTCTGCACACAGTTTTCTCGCAATATCCTTCAATTCAGTCCGTTTTCAGTTCCAATTTGAAATTACAGTGTTACTCTCGATTTCAATTTTCTTACATGTCATTTATCGCTGAGTTTGCTATATGTAATAAACTTGAAATCGTTATATATAACTGTAAGTGAGATCGATATAATATATAAAATGTTTTAGTCATTCGGACTCCTCTGAGACAGCAAATCAAAACGAATTCAACTAATTCTAGTGCATGAATTCAAGTGCAATATACTATATGAATTCGTAGGGTGGCTCTTATCGAAAGTAACTTACACTGAATAGGAAAACTATTACTATTCTCAATGGCCTAACTGAAAAATTCAATAATTAAATGTATAAATTGCTTACTTTCTGGTTCGATATTTTGTGGCAAGCTCATGAAACTAAAACTAAGAGATATAAAAAGCATATATACATGATAGAACTAATTGCTTGTGTGTATTTTCCATTGCTGATTCATGTGAAGGCAACATAGTCTGAAAGGATTAGTCTCAATATTGAAAAATATTAATGTGAAGACAAATAGTACACCTCGAGAATATCGTTGATGATATCCTGATTCATTAGACTTGGCTCTGTTTGAAAGGTATTAGTTACCATCACTGGATTTTCGTGCATTGTCGTGTTCTCCTGAATATCAGTTGATAAAGTGAACTGGAAACTAAATTCGTTCATAGCTTACTGTTTGGTCCGCCGTCTTCATTCTTTTGGTTTTGCTAATTTTTATGTGATTCGCTGTTGTGTAGTTAATATCACGATCTGAATTAATAGCAAAAGATAATTTTTGATAGATAAACACTGTAAAGGCTGAGTGTCCACAAGAAAAAAACTAATCGAAATTTCATAAAATGGAAATATGCAGATTTTATGTATATTGTTTCATTTCGATTAGTCTGATAACTGTGAACGACACTAATTTTTATCTAACTTTAATAGCATAATCGCTTAAGTTATGAGTTCATGTTGTTTTGAAATGAATTGTTTTCATTTTTAGAATTCAAGTTTTGCTCAAAAAGTAATATGTCTCACTGGACTGAAAAGTCAATTGTTTTGTTAATATGAATTATACTTACAGTTTGTACTTTGATATATAATAGTGTCTTCAACGTGAACTTGGTTTAGATCGGAGAAGTCAATTATCGGAGAAGGGTTTTTCGTTGAAGTTTCCTCAGTCCAATTAAAACCATCCACATTCAGATTACGAAGAGTTGCCCGGGGTGCATTCAAGATGAGTTCATTGCCTACCCCATTGTTTACTGAAATCAATGGTTGCTTACAGAGGATATCAAATAGCTGTTGTATGTGAACGAATTCATTTCGAGCTCTATTGATTTCGAATTCATCGATTTCATCCTTTTCTAACTGTTTCTTCATCACATCACTAACTTTTGTTTCCATGTGATTCGCCAAAGACCTTATCAAGTGTTCTCTATTAAAATTGACAAGTCCATGAAGTCGATCAACTTCCATTTGAAATTCCTTATATTGTTGGTTGATTTTATCTTGTATCATTTTCATCCAAGATTTAAACTGGTTTAAACAATGCTCTCGACCACTATTTATGTTCAATGATAATAATTTTTCATAAAGTTGCTAAAATAACCAGATACAATCTAACGTAGGACGATTGAAAGATTACTGATGAGCCAAAAATCGTGGACATTTATAGGATGTTTAGCGTGAAAAATTCAGCGAATGATTCAATGATTTATTAAAATATTAGAAAGTGTAAAGCAGAGATGCGATCGGTTAAGGATTTTTTTAAACCGATCCGAACCGAGCTGAACCGATTTTTATTTTTAACTATTTTTTAACCGAGCTGAATCGAACCGAATTAGCATTTAACCGAGTCGAACCGATTCCAACCGAAAAGTTTGTACAATTTTCAAATTTCTTCAAGGAACTTATGATGTTATTAGGAAGTTTGTCTTAAAAACTGATAATTGCTGTACACTATAGATAAATTCATTTATCCAGCTTTAGTAAAAATAAATGCGAAAACCTCGGATTTAAATCCGAGTGTTATGTGTACTTCAAAAAGTAAAAAGGTATATTCACTTTGTTTTTTTATCACTAAATTGCAAGGAAAAAATACAGGCGTGCTAAGTTAGCATGGACCACACTGTATGCGACCATATATATCCGGTGACCACTGACTCTACTCTCAGAATTGTATAATATCTTTAGAAATCACAGAAATTGAGTTCAGATTCGTGTTTAGCTTAGAAAACTGGGTAAGAAGACTTATTTTTGAATGGATTTGCGTTTGTATCTAGCAGGATTACGATCGTACGCAACCTCATGAATCTATAAGAGATATGTGATAGATACAGGCATCAGTATTTTCCTAATAAATCACTAATATTAATAGTTATCGAGTTCGGGTTTTTACCTTTCGATAGTCCTTTTGACTAGCTACACAACCAGGCATTTGTAAAACCCAAAAACTACTGATCATCTGAAACATATCTAGGCAATTCGGTTTCCGGTTGCAGTTTTTGTGCATTTTGAGAACTTTTTCAGGTGATGTTTTGTTAGAAAGCTACGATTAATATACACTTATGTTTAGAGCGCCATCTGTTTGTGCTTTTTGTTTTGTTTAATCATTGTTCTCTTTAAACAGAGCAAAACGGGAAAATGTGATAAAACGGTTAAAGGAACTTCGAACCGATTTAGTTTTCAAAAATTTTTAAGCGCACCGAAATCGGTTCGATCGGTTCGGTCCGGTTTGGTTAGAAATCGACTTTAGTCGCATCCCTGGTGTAAAGCTTCGGTAAAAGCTGTTGTGAACAGTTAAACGAACTAACGAAAGTCTCCAAAAGTACTTAACTGTAGTATTTTCAAATAGAAATAAATTTCTCATTCATCGTAGATATCAACACCACTAACCTTAGCTTCTTCTAGTAAACATCGTAGTTCTTCTTTTACAGTTTGCTGATGTTTTGAGCCATGCTTGAGACAAAAAGTCGATGAACAATGAGTGCATTGATATGTGGCTCGATTGCAACACCTCTCACCATTCTCCGGTAAAAATCGATATTCACATGTTTTCATGTCTATCGTTGTGTTGTTATTGAGCGTAGTTTCGCAGAATGTATCCGTCGATGTGCCTTAATTATAATTACTCTTTATTCTGTATTGCAATATATGTGAATGAATGACTTATTAAAACTCTATCAACAAAATAAGAATTATTTGACATATTTACCCGGGACTGTAATAGATATCGAAGATCTACCAATACCCACTTGATTTATGGGTTCGATGTTGTCATATGTGCATTCTGATGATTTATTAGTAGAAATTACCCTAATATTTTGTCCAATTTGATGTGATAGCATTGGCTTCCTGTGATCACCATCTAAAATTATTTAAAAAATAAGAATTTCTTTGATTAAGTTGCTCCTGTTGAGTAACAACCGACCGAAATCATCAAGAGTGCTCAACACTTCGTCATATTCTTGAGTAGAAGCCGCATTCGTAGGATTGTAAGACATATTCCTAGAGTTTTCTGTTGATAAAGATGCTGATGGTTGATGAAAAGTTGTAATGGTCTGTGTAACCGGTTGTCGTTTATTCTCCGTAAGATGTCGAGCACAGAGACCTTTTCGTTGAGCTTGTTTCTCACAATTATGAACAGAGCAGAGTCGTCGAAGCCTGTTTTTGACCAATTTGCTCTTAACTTGAGCTTCAACTAAGGGTTTCACACGTCCTATGCTTTGAATCGTTTCATTTGACATTACAGCAGTTATTATATATTAAATCTAAAATTAATTATCAAAAAATTACTTAGTAATCAACTACTGGACACTACACTATCGATAATACTAAAACAAATACTTTTTTTAAAGAAGTTATATCATCAATAAAAACGATAATTTCAATAGATTACAAACGAATATTTCTTTGTCAGTGTTGAAAATCAGATGTTTTCTTTCTAACATAAAAAACATGAAAGAGTATTGTATGAAATGGCATTATTCATTGATTCTCAAATGCAGTACCATAGTTTTGATAGTCATCTGGCATATGGAAATGTTCGTGGGAAACATTTCTTCATGGAACGGATCCTCGAAAAAATAGTATATAAATAACGAAAAGTAATCATAATTAATACTTCTTCTATTTATTGTTGTCCAAATTTATATCGAATGATACTTGCTTATATATTGATCAATAAAGCATCTTAATTTTTAACTTTCAGCTGTCATTTCCAGATGAACTACAATAGTCTTCTGCAAAATATCTAAATTTTTTAAAGATTTTACGTATTGAGTACAAATATTCGAACCTCATTAAATCGTGATCTAACAACAAGACAAATGACGATAGACTCGTTTTTATTGTAGTATTTGTTTGTTTTTTCGATAAAGGAGAGCCTGATAAATATATGACCATCGAAGTGTCTTTAAATAAGAATAGGTAATGACAAAAATTTTCTTTGAAACGAATCCAAAATAATTCTTGTGTTTTGAAAATACCTCAACCTAAGTTACATAAATCTGTAATTATGACTAATGAAACAATGTATGAAAATTTGAACCAAAAATATTTTGATAAAAGTAGAATATTTCTGCTTACGTTAGTATGATGACTTACATAACCTCGACTATAAAATAATCTGAGGAGAGTCAAAGAATCATTATCAATTAATGGGTAAGAGCATATTGAAGTTAAAAATTTGGTTGAATCAAGAAGTTAACCAGTGGCTTTTAACTCATATGCAGTTGAATATTATTGGTGTCAATTTTTGTGAAATTAAAAGTAAAAAGAAATGATAGTTTTGCTTTGCCATCATTCATTTACTACATACTTCATGTATCTTCATTTAATAGATCATCGTTACTAACAATAGTATTTTACGTTAAAAATCTATCTATTTATAATTTTGAATGAAAAAGTTCGAATTAATTGAATTGAATTTACCGTGCTTTGTTTTCTAAAATGAAGATGAAACTTCATCGATCTTGAAAACCTGATAACGTTCTACTAAGGTATAGTCGAATGACCTTGATTATCATTTAATTCAGATTTATTTTAGCTTGTCACAATGTGTTGACTCATAACATATTTGAGCTGGAGGGATCTACGTAACAAACAAATGTGAAATTCATAGTTTGCTTAATTTTCTTCGTCACTTTTGGCAGCCAAGACGGATCTATTGAAATATAATAACAAATCTTTTAATAATACAAAGGTTCTTACATAATATACGCAAACCAATCCCTTGGTATCCAGTAGATCAGCTTGTTGAATATGGTTTTTAACTTACGCCATATCATCAATACAAGTATCTAAGTTGGAAGAATAGAAGATATATAATGAATATTTTTCTAGAATTGGCTACGACTTTAAAGATACTTCAGTTTTTTTGGGGGAAAAATTAATGCAATAATCAATACATACAGTTGGAAATTATAGTTTCATTCGGAATAAAAATGTTTTTAATAAACAAACGTGATCACGTTGCTACATGCTTCACCTTTAGCATTTTGTATTGCCTAGTGTAATTTGTGGCCATATTTATATATAAACTTTCCTCCTACTTCACGTATACGTAGAGGTGTAGACGTAGGACAGAACGAAACTATTTTTTTTTCATGTTTCTCTTTCTCTTTGTATTCAATCTATAACACACATCGATACAGTAGTTTGTACGTGAAAATTGAGAAAAATAAGATTCAAGAAATAAATCAGCAATAAATAAAGTAACTGACTCGAATGTCAATTTAGGAATGTACGGTGTGAGTGAAAGGTGGAATATGAACAATGCGTTTCTCTCCTCTCAATTTCACAGCCTATATTTACATCCTAATTCAGATCAAATATAATGTTACTCGATACAACAGGATAATGACAGTTCCATAAAATAAATTTTATCGGACATGCTGACAATATGACTTTAGATATCTAAGCATCAATTTAAATATCTAAGCATGAATGCTTACGACTGAATGGAACTAGACACGAATATATAAATGGTTTTTCTGAAGCCAAGAATTTAGACCATTTCTTTATGATCTTATCTTGCTCTCATTATAGAAAATTTTATAGATTTTATGAGCGGTTAAAAATCTCCATGATTTCTTTATAAATTTACGTCAAACTATCCATATAATCTTAGTTGTGTTCACGGGCTTGAGAAATAGATAAAAAAAACATTGTGCTAATATGATGCATATAACATGAAAATTGATGCTGTTCTATTTCAGTTATTGAAATGGTCGTTTTTAACTGTATAATTCTATGGTTTTCATTAAAAGTAATTTTCGCTGAAATCAATGAAACTGAAATGTATACATTTGTATATCCATTTTGTTATTTCAAATAGCAATTTTTATATTTTTCATATGAAAATCATGAGAGATATCAAAAATACTTTCGAAAATTTAATGAAATGAATATGTTCCGTGGTGTTAGCATTGCACTTTACATAATTCAACCTCTCTCCTTGTTATGGTTTTGACCGATTTCATATAATAAAAGCATGCATTCAAATCATTGACTGAATTAACCGAGTGCTGACCACCTAGTGAGACATTATATCTTATACTTTTCTTTGAGCTTTTTGCTCATATTTCCTGATAGAAAGGACTGACTTTTCTAATTTCAAAGTTAACGAAGGACTCCAAATATCCTTTGTCTTGAATAGCTTCATTTGATATGGCTATTATAATTGTATTAGATATATAACAAAAAATCAGCATATGACTTGGCAACGGTACAAATTATATACGCTACTTGTGAACAACGAGAAGCTTCCTGTTTACATAAAAAACAAAAGAGACAAGCTCAATATTTCCAAAAAGAAAAGTAAATCTTGCTTATCATGTTTTTTTTATCTTCCACCGTAAAAGTATTTTTTTTCAGACTTTGGCAGCACGATGAGAGAAAGACAGAGTTATGTCACATGTGAATACTTCAAAGGCAGAATGTTAAAAGCAATATTCCTCAATTATGCATTATTCATCATCGAATATCCAATAATGGACTGTTAAGAATAGAATTGCTGGATATTTAATAATTACCCGATAATTTATTGAGCATTTATATATTTCAAAAAGGGTTTTTTTATAATATAGTTCGTCATTGTAGATTAACAAAAGAAAAAGAACTGTTGCTTTAATCTTTGAAGAAAACAGTTAACCACGTGCTATTTCTACAGGTTGTTCACCGATGCTTTCACGCTTTAATCTGCAGTTGTTCACATAGATTAAAACCTCTTGAAGTAATTCGATAGCGTCCAGATAATGCAAGTGAGCAACACCATTTGAATCACTGCTAGAACCTTGTTGTATTTTTCTTCGGATTTGGGTAATTTTTTCATCTAAACTGTCCATCTCTTGAAAATAATAGATAGACTAACAACATCCGAGTTTCTAAGATAAACTTTATATCTTACCTTACTCTTTGAGACAACAAGTGAAACCAATTTAAAATCGAACCAATATGATAGTAGAAAAAATATGCTCTGTGCATGAATCCGTTACTATTTACTATTTATAGTTATCAAGGAGTGTCCTTTTTTAAAAAGGAAAAATGTTTGATCGCCAAATAAGTTTCTTTTAAAAATAACTTTACGTCTACATCTACGTCTACGTCTACGTCTAAGTCTACGTCCATTTCTTGTGAATGTTACTGCACGTTTTCAGCTTGTAATAAAAGGTCAGGTATGACAGAGTTTTAGAGAAAATGCTTTTTTTTCTCTCTGCTTGTTTTGATAGCTGCCCTGCATGACAGAAAGAGCAGTCATTCATACCCGTCGAATTATAAATTTATAAAAAAGAACAGGCAAATAAACTTTGTTCATAGTTAAGCAAATAAAAGAATACATGTCACGTTTTTATTACTTTCTTTGTATTCTTCGTTTCTTGTGTGACTAAGAAGAAAAACGTAAAGTAACTTGTAGAGAAAAAAATAATCAACTACCAATATTAATTGTTTATGGTCACTGATCTAACAGATTCTTTTTTGACTTCGTATTCAAAAATGATTATGCCTTAGTGGAAAAAAACAGTTACTAAAATAATTTTGAAAATGAAACAAAACAAGAACTAATCATTGTTTATGATGTGTGATCGTTGAAGAAACACATATACAAGGTTTTATTTCGCATATTTTATATAGACTACATCAAACAACTGAATAGTGAGGCATTTACTTTTAATTCTATGCCTTTCTAATTGTATTTACTTAGTCACTGGTCAAATAATACAGTTTCATTTGTTAGTTATCAAGAGATATTATTACCTGAGCTATCAGCCAAAAGAGCTGTTTTAGTCAAGCTTCTTTCTCACTGACGGAAAGTAACATAGTATTTTCTCCAATTATAGACTACTTATTACTGCCTGGAAAGTAGAAAATCATTCATTTTTTATTCTTGTTATTCGTAACATTGTTCACAGAGTCTAATTCACATAATTATTAAGAATAACGCATTTCTATTGTTTCCGCCAGTCGTTTGAAATTAAATTTCATTCATTCTATGTTCTATAATTTAATGACTTATTTCCAGTCGTTCTATGTAAAAACGAATTTTTCTTACAATGAACTGAAACTATTTATTTATTTCACTTTCCACTGCACAGCTACCAATCAAATGTACCACTCTTATCGATGATCATTATTTAAATTGTATCCATGGAAGCAACAAATATTAATAGTTATATTTTGCCTGCTACACATGTGAGTCTTTATGAGCCACCACATATCCATATCAGAGATATTTGTTCAATCAGGC